AACACTCCGACGGCGGGGCGCTCGAAGGGTAGTAACCACATACCCTGTCAAGTCATACCTCGCGAGTGGAACAACGGTAGGAGCAAGAATCTGCCGATGCCTGCCACTTTATTCGTTGTCTGTACATGCATCAACTTTTCAAGTCCCGCCTCGACAATCTTGCCCCTGCCAACTGGATGTCGTCATGTTTTTTTCCAGTCCAAGTGCTTCTCACCGCATGAAAACGCACATCAAGTTCGTTTCTTCACTGCATGGAAATCTGAATCCTCGACTCGGGAATCTGTTCTTGAATTTGAGGTAGGGTTGGGGCGTGAGGGGTGAAGGACAGACATCTCCAAACCCTTGCCTCGTTTACAAACTCGGCATCTCTGTGCCGTGTGTGCGTGTGTGTTGTGGGATGATGCAGATTCCGGCGGTGGTCCCCAGCCGGGACGGCGTCTTGCAAAGGCCTGCTAGGACCTCCATTAGCAGCCGAGAGATGCTGTCTGCCTTTCGCAGGACACCTTCCCAGTCATCGTTGACACCCATCAAGGTTCACAAGGTGGAGCCTCTTGGCTATTCTTGGCTGAACGGAGTTGATCTCGCGATCGTGTCTTCAACGCCTCACTGGACTTTAATCACCATGCAAGGTTTCAACGAGTGGGGGTTCAAGACGGTGCTGAGTGGGACTCGCCAGATGAACAGGACGCCGAGTCACCACAGGTGCCACGGGCCTTTCCAAGCTTTTGGGCGGTTGCTTCGTGCTCATCTGGGTGCGGCAGGTTTCCGAATGGGAGCCGGGTATGGGCAAGTTGAACCCAAAGACGGAGTACTACCAGATCAACAGTCAGCAGGACACCATCACGTGCATGCAAGAGGCTCGGGTTCTTCTGCTGTCTCGCAGGACTCTCCACGCGATGATCACCGCAATGAACGCATTTTGGGAGCCTGAGTCGCAGCCTCAGCTGGAATGAGTGACCGGGCAGGGCGAGAGGGAGTGTAAAGGAGCAAAGTGCGATGCGAAATCTCTCCATCTCCATCGTCCGGCAAAACCTGCACACAGCCTTTGATTGTCAAGTTCTGGGTCCGAAAGCCTCAGCAATAGTCGATCAAACAGTTGATTCACACGATTGCCAAGTACCTGTTCAGAAGGAGCAACACAAAATGGAACGGCTGGAGTTGCAGAAGGCTTAGGCCAGGCAGTCCAAACCATGCAAAGCTGGCAAGATAAATGTGTTTTTTGTCGTCGTGAGCTTCCAATCCCGTCAAGCTTTTTTACCGCAACTCAACACAAGCTCGGCTCCGTTGGGCCGATGTGTTTGCTTTCGATCTTCGGTTTTCTGACAGGATCCATTCTGCTTTGCGTGTAGCCATGTCACCCTGTCGATTGAGATGTTAATCTAGGTCACTGTAGGTCTCACAGTGTTGACCATGCCTTACTTATGCCTTGCTTGCCAGGACCAACAGAAGGACGCGGAGTCCAAGAATTCAGCTTGAAGTGTAGTCGCGTCACACAAGGTGGCGTTGGTCTCGCAACTTGAACAGACCTTGTTGTGGAAACTTGAGTCTGGCTGTGGACATTGGTAGGCACTGTAGGTTTCGGTGCGCTTGCAAACGTTTGCACCAGGTGCTTGCTCCTTCAATACTGTGTAGTTAGCGGCCCCTGTTTCGCCAACCAAGTGACACTGCATGGAATAGCATGCAGAAAACGTCGCTTATCTCTGCCTGGCTTTGCAACCGCTGGTTGGATGGCGACACCGAAAGTGTGCCGAACCTAGATTGATCATTGCCTGCGGGCTGTCTATAGTGTAGTTTTTTTCAACGTGTGTGTTTCGGTGTTTTGCCATCCTCCTCCGGCACTTTGGATGTCGAGCCTGGACGGTTCCAACAGGAATTGGATGCAGCAGGCTCGTGCCTGGGCTTGGGGCCTTTTGGGTTCTACAGGAGAGCGGTGAGAATTAGGTGGAGTTGGGATTCGTTGCACAAGGCCCCAAAGCAATCTGGTCTCGAGGGGCTCACGCGTGCTTTGTGCAAGGTTCCTCTGTTGCTGGAAGAGTGATCGTTTGTGGCTGTTTCGGAGGGCCCCCTGAGCATACAGTTTGAAGACGATTTTCTGGAGGCTCTCTGCCGAACGAAGCTCTGTGCCAGACCCAATGCTGTTCACAGCCACGATTTGCAAATTATTGATCTCGGACGCAGAGTCTTGTTTCCTGGAGTTAGAGTGGGAACCTGCGCAGAGAGGCAGCAAGCAGCCTAAGTCCTAAGTCATCACCACAATCACCGTCGATCTGCCAGCTTTAAAGCTGCGCGAAGCGCTTACGACCTGCTCTGGGTTGTGTAAGCTCTGATGTCCCTGCCCTGAGCAACAAGCCGTGGGTGATGTGAGATTTCAAGCCGCAGAGTCGCGGGGCCAAGCTCGTACTGAGCCCGCCTCACAGATGGGAGGCCCCAGAGAAAACCGCAGAGGGGGCTGCTAGATGGAGAGCCTCACCTTTCACAACAAATGTGGTTTTGCTCCGCTGCTTTTGCTGTAGGACCACCCGGGCGGGGCGGCGCCGTTGCGGCGCCTTGCTGGCCAGGACGTGTGGAAGCGCGGTCTTGCAGTGGCTGCGGCGCAGCAGCTTTTCCACACTCACAGGATGCGACAGATGCGTTCATGGCGGTGGGGCACTCGGAGGCCATGTGCTCAGACTCATCATCTGGCTGTTGCACATGGCCATCAAGAGAATTGAAGCGAAGAGACAGGCAGCCCGGCGGCTGCTTCAGAGCTTTGAGATAAGACCTTCCGAAGGCGTCCGATCCCTGCCATTTGCCATTCGGATGATCGCACTGCGTTTTCTTGGCAGGTCGCCTGGGACTCTCAGCTCAGTCTCAGCCTGAGTGCGCCGAGTGGAAGCGTTGGGGGAATATGAAGAAAATCAATGCACAGAGAGTGAGATAGAGAACTTTGCTAAGCTGTTCTTGCTAGTACTTCGGGGAAACCGCGCGAAACGTTTTAGTGAGGGAAGCATGGCTGCTGGAGGGACTAAGGATTTGCCGTAGAGGGCGCGGGGATGAGGCCGGGACGCGGGCTAGAGTACAGGGTTTGGGGGGATTACAGCAGCCATACTCCACCACAAGAACAAGCCGTAGGGCCCAATTCCTTGCATCGACTTCAATGCCTATTCTCTAACAGCCGAATTAGAGAAGGGGGGTGCCTAGGGTCAGTCCGCTAGACCTATCCCTACGGAAGGAAGGAAGGGAACTTTCCTAACAGAGGTGCTTCCGGTGAAGGAAAGAGAAAGAGAGAGATTTCAATTTTGGCTCTAGCGTTATAAACCTCGGTCTCGGTGGTGGCGACCACAGCTTGTTCCGCGGTGGGGATTCGAAGGCCCCAGCAACCCTTGGGATGAAATACCATCCGAAGCGGATGAAAGGTTTCCTTGCCTCTGCATGGCAATATGTCGTCTGCGCCGGGAAGTACGAACCCACTCGGAAGAGTCGAGTCCGAACACAACAGAGCAAGAAGAGCCAGCTAGATAAATTATGAGGATAAGCCGCGAAGGGATAGCCGGTTGGAGGCATAGCTGGCATGGCTGGTCGTGGCGTCTCTCCTTGTTCCGTGCGACCCTTTGCAGAACCGACCGACCCTCTTTTCCGGGCTGGGTGGGCTACATGACTGGCCCTCACGCACAGAACGGAGTCTTGTATCCTTGCGTCATGAAATCATACAGCCATGTGTGCTGTGGCAGTTAGCTTTCGTGCATCAGTACATTGCATGCATAAGTGAGCGATCATATCTACATTGTTGGATTGATCTGAAATCTCGTGCCGGTGTTTCAGGTACGATCTGACCCAGCAGCCAGCTGGCATTTGGGCCTCCCTGCGGCGGCTACTCGTGTTGACTGCAGCTTCCTGAGGCATAAGCTGAGATCCCGCAGCACAGGGCTATCGTTTTGAGGCCTCCGTTTTCCTCATGCTGGGCATGCAGACTGCCCTGAGCGACGGCTTCTTGCTTGCAAGCTAAGTACGATCAGATGTCAGCAAAAGCATTGTCATTCTTGTCGCCCAGGTCAGGAACTTGAGGCACCAGCGCCAGCACCGGCACTGTTGGGCATGGGTGTGACTGCAGCCATGGCAAGCTGCTCAATTTGCTGATGCGAGCAGCCCGGTGAACCTCGTAGCATCTGCTTTTTGCATTGTCGTAGATTCTAGTCTATCCCCTCCGCCCAGCGGCAAGCCCGTCGTGCACGAGATCAGTGTTTGATATTTTCCGTGCCGCTAGGATCATCCGAGGCCCAGCTCTTCTTCTGGGGAGTTCTGCCAGCGAGCTGGCAGGAGCCGGCCAGCGGCTGAGGCTCAGAGAGGCTGTCGGAGCGTTGCCAAACAGTGATGTTGAGATTTCCCCGACCCATTTGCAGCCCTGTTTTCAAGCATGGCGGGTTCACGGGAGTATTCTGGCGATGGCGCCATCAGGACCGGCATTGACTTCTCACTCTGCTGTCTCGAGATGCCACAGCGTGCACACTCCAGCTCTACGGCTCTAACCAGGAGGGCCGCGGAGATGGAGGAGGCTTCGCAGCTTTACGCTCGGCGTCTCGTTGGCCCAGGGGACACCCGGCGGCATGCGACCTGCAAGCAACCACCCTGCAAGCGAAGACGCCCCTGACGCGTGAAACCTCGGCGACCCGAGGATGCGCTGAGCGGGCGCGTCAGGGCCTCGGTGGCCAAGGAAGCCTACGCTGCTCTCAGCAAGCGAGATGCATGGCTCCCCTTCCGCAAGGCCAGTTTTCGATCGCCTGCCATCGCCTGCGATCGCTCGTGTGTGCCTCGATGCATGTCTCTCAGCCTGCAGGCATCGCCGAAAGATTCCGGCCTGCTGGATCGGATGTTGGCCACAGAGCAGCCGGAGCAGACCTTTACAGGCCACGCAACCGACCTGCATGTTCTTTGCGGAGTGCGATGTACCAACTTGACAGATACTCTGGAGGTGAGTGCAGCAAGATGCTTGCTTGTGTGGTGCACGCCATCGTTCACTTGCAGCCGTCGCTTGCCGATATTGCGGCACAGGACATCGCAGGGTGTCAGCCATAATCTGCACTCAGGATCACAAATGCAGATTGGTATGCCACGTCGATGGAACGAGTAGCCGCCGAACTCATTGCCAGCGGCATCTCGGCAAGTACAGATGGGTACAGTGGCCGGTCCTGTTCTGTTCCGTGCTGTGCTGTGCGCAGAGCGTAGACTGTCGACATGTTTCAGGAGAGCTGGAGCCGAAGGCCACCTTGGAGGACAAGGCAATGCGCATGACCGAAATTATCGCCGTTGCCGCCGGGGGCGCTGGCCTGGCCGCATATTACAAGGCCAGAACCTAAAAGTGTTGCCATAACAGAATGACACCTGTGGAAATCGATGATCGTCGTCGTCATCATCATCATGATGCTTTTTATGCCGGCGTTGACGAAAGCTACTCGGTCAATCATGCCAGCAACAGCACAGCAGTGACACGAGTCGTACATGAAGTTAAGACTTTCGTCCAGAATCGAAACTCCTGACATCTCATAGCAATTCACAGCGGCCATGCCGAAATGCAGGCTCTTGGCAAACCCCTGCCTCCTTTGCCATCTGCAACGGCCGGCGAGCCATTCTTCAAGAGCCTCAAGGATTTCTACTCCGGCGACGTTGTTGTCGAAGCCGGCTATGGAGCCTTGCCAGCAATCGCAAGCCTCGCGCGCTCAGTTTGGGTCCGCTCAAATTGAGGCTACTCTCTGAATCCGAAGGGAGGGTCGAAGGTCTCAGAAGCGGCCGTGAAGAAAACTGGCTGGAAGTCGTTGGCGGATTTCAAGCCAACCATCGACAGCATGGATCCGCTACTCGGCATGCTGTGCACGTGTCAGGAGATCTACAAACTGTAAAGGCACCCTTGTTTTCCATCATGTCGCCCGGGGTACGTTGACGAGTGCATTCTCGGGACATGTCGTGTAGGACCTGTCTGTCGTATGCGCACCGAAGATCAAGTCTTCGGCGCACAAGCACGTGTGACACCTGTTAGAATGCCTGCGGAAAGAAAGTTGGGATGGTCGATGAATGCTCTTGCCAAGGTTCAGCAAAATGTCGCTGACGCCGTACTCCTGTTGGATCCAGCAGCAATGGATGGAAGCTTTGTACATCCCTCTTCGGGATGTAGTCAACTTTTCCGCAAAACCGCCACCTTCACGATGCACTCGCCCTAGTTCAGGACAGCCACTCCGGTCTGGGACCTGGGACTGTTTGAGAGCTGAGGTCTCTCGCGATCGGACTTGGAAGTGGTGGCCGCTGCCTACGCTGGAGCCGTGACCTGCCATTTCTGACACAACGGGCACGCGGCCTTCGCAAATCTGACCTCTGGGATGAGCGCTGAAGAGCATCCTGCGAAGGCACCTGGGCAAGGGAGCCTTGGCACCTGTGGCGACACGCCCTACGGTAGCAGACCGCGGGCTTAAGCGAGGTTCGCAAGAAGGCAAAGTTTCGATTGAAGCCTTCAGGATCCTCCAGCGATCAAAAGCCGACATGGCGCTGGCAACAGCAAAAACCAAGAGAAGCTAGCTAGGGTCTTGACTTTCATAGCAGCTGAGCACCACGAAGAGCTTGGGACTCTTTTTTAAAGCTGACGTGGCTTTGGTGAGGCTGAGATGGAGGAGTTTGCCAAGGCACCACGCCCGTCTCTTTTGCTCCTATGCCAGATAACCATGTATCGTATGTATATTGCCTGTATTGCTCTGCAAGTGTCTCAGAATAGGTCAACTGCCGGGGGTTGAGGTTCCTGTGGTTGGGCTGGTTGTTGCGAAAGGGCTGGACACAACGGACAGTATGACTGACTGCGGAGGCCCTTGCCAAGGCATCGGACGAACAGTTGCAGAGCTGCGCCGCGACTTTACAGCCTTCTGTCTGCAAGGGCAGCGTACTTTGCGTGGGTGCGTCGCGCTTTGCGCAGACCGCTTCCACTTTCATTATTCCTGCAACGGGTGGAAGTTTCGGAGCACACGACTGGCAGAAGTGTCGATAGATCATGCAGTTCGCCAAGATCTGCGAGGAAGAAGGGGGGCGATCACGTCTACCTTGACACAGTGGGTGTCGCCGCAGCATTCGCCACCATGACAAGGTCCATGTCTAATTTCTGTCAGTCTTTACCCGAATATCTTAACACTCGGAAACTTGCAGGATGGTGGATGGCACGGGTCATTCGGCAAACTTGATGGCAACCAAAATGGCCAAGCACGTGACCAACTCGGTCGATGCGGCCTCAGTATGCGTTGCTAACCAGCTCACACACGTGCAACAAGCCTCATGCGGTCCTGCGACTTTGGTTGATGCAGGTTCAGGTCAAGCGATCTCTGCGTCGGCGGTGGTTGCTCGTCCTTCTCGGAGGCGTGTTGGCCGGTGTGGCCGCCAAGAAGTTGGCAAGCCACATGTAGGATCGGATCGCGGCAGTTGCCGTTGCCAGAAAGCTTGCTGGTGCAGATTTAAATCAGAGTGTGCAAAACACTCTGCGTTGCTGATGTAATTCATGCTTCGTTTCCGGCTTTCAGGATATGAGGTGATGTGCAAATGACATGAGGCACAATCCTACGCTGGCTCCACCTCGAGTGTAGGGAAGCGGGCCGTAACGTCGGTGGTGCCAGCGTGGGAGGATTTGTGGCTTGAATGGAAACGCACAGCCTGCATTCCATCTTGGAGCTTGGGATCAGCTATGATCAACTAGATACCTCAGGTTTCTGCTTAACTCGTTTGCTTCTGGCGCGACTGCTCTGGTTGCTCTGATCCTGCAGCATCATCTTTCGGCACGGGGTTCGATTGTACAGATCGGGCGAACCCAATCTCAAGGTCATGATCCTTATGGATTCCAGCGAGATGTAGCCTTTGCAGACCCTCAGACTGCCCGCTTGTGCCGTGAGAAAAAGGCTTTACGGCGAAAGCTACAGCGCTTCCTTGCCTCAACACGAGTGTGTCGTCTTCTTGCCTCTAAGCTACTTTTCGAGAGGTGCTTGAGTTTCGAGCTTTCTCACGAGGTTCGGCATCGCCCGCTGCTGATCCCAGGCACAGCACTCAGGATGAGCAGCGTTGGTACATCGCACATCGCACAGATTTCAAGTGATCGGCTTGTGAGGCCTCTGCCAAGTTGCGCTGACGATGACAATGCACATGACATCCTTTCCGGCTGGGTCACTGGTTTCGTTGTATTGTTAGAAATGTGCACGGCGTGCTGCTGTGTTTTGCCATTTAAGTGTTGCGAAGCAGCATCTGTCTCTGCAGCAAGGTGCTGGCTCTTGGTGCTGCTCTGGGCTTTTTGATGCATGCTGGCAGAACGGAGGCCAGTCTCCATTGTACAACGTGATGCTCGTTCCAAGAAACCGTAGCACGCAAGGGCGAAGCGTCAGGCGATTTTCGAGTTACGGCTGCAACCACAATAAGCAACAACATCCTGTTGCTCATTGTCGTGCCGTGTTCCATTTCCTCGATTGGAATGTTGCTTCGAGAAGGCAGCGAACGATTCATAGTCACGAAGGCTAGCTCTCATCAGTTGCTGGGGTGGACGCGGTTTGGAGGGCTGTTGGGTGCACGTTCCGATGCTTCCACCAGTCCGTGGCAAACTCGCACATTGCGGTTGATCCCTTGCCCTGAACTGTCCGATCAAGTGGAAGTGAAAGAGGAACTGAGATGAACAAGAGTGTGGCCACTGTCGCAGTGTGACAGCGTCACAGGAGACTGCGTTGATCTCAAGCGATTGGGTGCTCGTGCTGTGAATCTGCACCGCTTGGACCATTCAGGCACTACTTATTGTACCGTGCGGTACTACTGATGGCGATTCGGCACGTCATTGTTATGAAGTCTGGTACTGGCAACCATCACGCAGTTTGAGAGGGGTTGACGCTGTTCGTTTGCTGCTGCAAACCTGTTGCACTTTTGCGATGTCCTCGTCGTCGAAAACATCGGAGTGGTAGGCATGAGCCGAAGCCTTAAAGCAGCCGTGCAGGGTCCTGCCTCGCCCAGTGCTTTGGGCACTGTTGCCTGGGCCCTTCTTTTCCAGGTTCGGTGAGATTTCATGCGGATCTCCTTTTCAGCGCCCCGAAACTGGCAGTGACAGGCTTGCCTGCCTACGACTTCCGTGCAGCCGAGAGGTGGTCATTTGTCTCCATTGCGTTTGTTGGGCTGTCCTTGCACGGCAGGGGCAGGGGACTGCATGCAGGAAGGAATGGAAGGCGTGGGCAGAGCTCTGTGATGAACTTGGGGGGAGTCGGGCCTCGACAGGCATTCTGAGACCCTCCTTGGCAGCTCGGGGCTGAGCCCTCCCGGCCCTCCCCACTTTTTTCGCCTAGCTTCTTGCATGGTCTCTCTGCGTCTCTTTGGAGGTGCTTTGCTCGGCTTTGGCACTCCAGGGCCTGCACCGGCCCCAGGGCCCAGGCCTACGCCCATGTGCGGTTGAGGTGCCCCTTTGTCGCGGCTCTCTGCAGCACTTTTTTGTGCAGGTCTTGGCAGGTCTGGAATGGCAGGAGTGTGCGTGCCTGCCCCAAAACTCAGGAGGAGAAAGAAGGGTTTCAGAGATTCCTGGTTCCAGTGCGGTCCCCTTCGAAGTGTTTTGGTCGACGGGCATCTCTGAAATTGCCCTTGCATGGAGATGCTTCCTTGCAGCTGCAGGCTACGGTGCTGGCGGGGCTCAGGATCGCAGGTGCAACAGCGAAGCTCCCCCAGATAGTTGTTGCTGACAGCGCGAGCTACGTTTGCCGTTGCACGGATTCGCACGGGTCGAGTCCACATCTGAAAGAATCAAGCTAAGGACTTGCCTTTGGATCTTGCTGAAGCAGCTGCAGGCAAACGGATCATGCAGTCACAGTGCCAATCAGTGTCTGCTCGGAGTGCAGGTGGGAGCAGCAGCCAGCCACCTCGACGCCGTGGACCCAGTCCCCAAAGCAGGCATTAGGCCGTTTAGATCTAGACTGTCGAGAAGAGCTCAGCCACAGCTTCTGCCACGAGTGAACGTGTCCTATGTGTGTGAGCTGAGGCCCTGGCCGGTGCTCTGCGCAGCGGCGCCTCGATGCTTCTGCTTGGGCTTGTGCAGGCGCGGGGCATCGCGGCTCCCGAGTCGATTCTGCAAGCGCTTGAGCAACGCATGTCGCGTAAAGATTTCATCCCTCGCCGAAGCTCTGGCTCGGTTCCGAGTTTAAGGCTAAGGGGTGGGGCGGGATGCGTCCAGCAGGCCCTGCGCTTGGCAGCGCCGTCACTTGGATAGGTGATGAGCCCCTGCGCAAGGTTCACCTTCTGTCAGGTTCAGCTTACGAAGTCAGGGGCTGTCCCGATCTGCGCGATTTCAAGCAGGCCTTGTCGAAGGAGCTGGGGCATCCTGCCTACCTGCTTACCCTGCTGTCTGACGGTGTGGCCATAACATGCAACGACGAGTGGCAGAGGCTTGACAGCTCCAAGCACCTTGTCGCTGTGCAGTCATGTCCATTCACGGACTTTGTCACCGACTTTGACCAGGACTTGATTGAGGTGGGGGGAAAACGTTCGACTCGCTTGGGCCGCTTGGGATCTCTGTCGGTCGCGGGGGGTTGTCATTAGGAGTTAGGAGACTCAGCGACCCGACCTGCCTCGATGAAATTGCCTGGTCTTGGCTAGTTGCAGGCCAGCACGGCTGGTGACATCAGCCGAGCGGAGGAGCTGTTGGCAAAGGGTCAGCGGCCGGATGCAGATGTGGTGAGAGGGAGGCACAATGCTGGTATGAAGCCTCTGCATCTCGCTGCAGAAGCTGGGAATGCTGACTTGGTCAGGCTTTTAATTCAAGCACGTGCTGCAATCAATGGTGGCAGATGCGATAAAACCCCGCTGCAGCTGGCATGCCAAAACGGCCAGCCAACAGTGTTGGCGGTTTTGGTCGAAGCTGGTGCGGACATAAACGCAGCGAACAGGTTTGGTAAAACTCCACTTCAGCTTGCATGTGCAGGTGGACATTACCATTGCGTCTACAATTTATTGTTGGTAGCTGCAGATGTCAATCACACTGCTAACAGTGGCAGAACCCCGTTGCAGCTCGCTTGTGAATTTGGCCATATCGATGTCATCAAGCTTCTGATCCGAGCTGGTGCGGACATTCGCAAGAAGGGGATCCACGGGGGGACTCCGCTGCAGATTACCTGCGAGAAAGGCTATTTGGAAGCAGTGCGCCTTCTCATACGTGCCGGTGCAGACATCAATGCTGCGAGCCGATACAGTCGAACGGCCCTGCAGCTGGCATGCGAACAGGGCCACATTGAGGTGGGAGATGCTTCCGGCGGGTGTCTGCATTTTTTTAGTCCTCAAGCCTTCGCCAACTTGAGTGGCATCTAGTGAACGTAATCTCGCTACATCTTAATCAAGTACATGTGCGAGCTCAGAGCAGGTAGTTGCGCACCTCATAGAGCAGCGGGCGGATGTTACCAACCAGCGCAACTACGGAAGGACCCCACTTCAACTGGCTGCTGAACAGGGTCACGCCGATGTTGTGAAAGCATTGGTTGAAGCGCGGGCGGACACTCAGGTTGCTGGTGCCTACGGCCGCACACCCTGGACACTGGCATGCGAAGGCAACTTCCAGGTGGTGCGGGTGTTGCTGAAAGCCGGAGCTGGCCGCGCAAAAGGAAGGCCCAGCAGCTAGCCACCAAGTCACCAAGTCACGCAGTTTCGGCGTCTTCTGAAGCGTGGCTGCGTGTTGCAGTGTTTCACCATGCTCAGGAAGCTTGGTGAGTGCTTGGAAGCTGCAAAACTGATTGATCGCAGTCGACTTCTCCCCTTTGCCCATTGCTTGAATTGGTTTCTTAGCCTTTGACTGGCGAGGCGGCCGCAGCAGATGCTTCCGAGGAGTGCCATACTGCCGTACCTGCGGGCTTCTTCTCCGGTATTAGGCAGCCCGAAAGGAACGATTTCAATGAGTTTATGTGTCAGACTCCCAGGAGTTTGGTGCTGGCTTCGTCAGTGGCTGGCTCTCTGCAACCGTCGGACCGCTCCTATCACGTTGTGCACGTTGTGAGCTCTCCTCGAGTCGGATGAGGCGCTTGCCTGCAGGATCCCTTGCTGCACTGCTAGGGCTTGGGCAAGGCTGGCGGAAGCACGTGATGTCTTGGCATCGGAGACGACCTCCGGAAGCCAAAACCTTTTTGCAAGCTGCAAAAGCTGAACTGACAGACCGGCGGCTGGGCCTGACCTTGCCAAAGCCTCGGTGGGTGCAGGTTTTCAGAGCAGATATCAGATATCCATCTGAGCAGAGCGAGTGCAGTGGACTTGCCGGTTTTGAGTCGGCTTGGTGCCAGGTTGGCCTGGTTCCTGCACCTTCATCGCTCTGCGGCAGATCTGGCAACGAGGCGACCCGTCGCCCCTTTCGGCTCCATTCGACAGCACGAAGAAAGCCCTTCTGAGAGGATTGCCGAGAAGAGCCGGCCCGGAGAAGGCCTCAGATTCTGGGAACTCCAGAGAGAAAAGATGTTGGCTGCTCTGTGCACCTCCCGTCAGGGAGTGCGGCCCCGCCGGAGGCTTCCTTGAGGCCATTGTTTCGTGTGACCAAGACTTCAGACTTGGAAGGTAGCTTTCGAGCAGCGCCGACACACTTGAAGCACGCATGAGAGTTTCGAAGTGTCGTGCAAGCTAGCTGCCAGGTAGTAAGACTCAGAGTTGTAAGGAAGATCCTCAAGCTGTGGCACATGGGCCTGATTAGGTTGCTGTTCCTGATCGACAACTTCAGGTCTCTAGTAGCCATGGCAGCCGGGGGCTGAATTTCAGGCCGGCAGATGCAAAAAGAGACTGCGATTTTTTTTTGAGGTGTGGAGCTTTCTCGGCCGCCCACTGGAGAGGCATCACAAAACCGAAAGCTCGTTCGAATCCAACCATGGTGGTAGTGAGACGTGGAGATGCTTCGATCTCCAGGTCGGAACGAAGTTGTCTAGAGCAAACTGCCGTATCAAAAACATCAAGACATCACCTTTTGCGGGCGTCGCTGGCCGTAGTCCTGTCTAAATCTAGTGCATTGCGGCATTTTGCTAGTTGCAATTTGCATAGCATGTTGCTGCGCCCAAGCATCCAAGCAGCGACCACGCAAGTCTTCTGTCAGCAGGCTGGTAACATGGATTCTGCCGGGCCGTCTCCGCGTCTTTGCCTTCGAGGTCTTCAGCTGCGGCTGTCGTTGGCTATCGTTGGCTTCTGGCTTTCGTCCATGGTCCTGAAGGCTCCCATCGACGACTTGGGTGGTCTCTTGCAGGCTGGGGTTCCCTGCTCAGACCCTCCGTTTCGGTTGGATACAGGGCTCTTCCCCAACTCGAACTGAGGTGTGTCTGATGTTGGAGGGTTCCAGCTGGCACCCTGGTGGTTGAGCGACTGGTGTTGAGTGTTGTAGCTCTATGCCTCTATGCAATCCCCGCCCGTTCTCGAGGCCTTACTGAGTCTCCGTCTCCCGGCCACGTCGCAGAAGCCTCACCCGTTCAGTTTCATATCATAGGAGCATGTTGATGTCCACAACTTCATGGGCAGACTTTTGTGTCAAAGACGCTGGAGTGGTGGCTTTTGCTGCTTCACAGTTCGGCTTCTGCCAAGGTCTGTAATGTCGGTCACCTGCCCACTGCTGACGACGAGGACTTGAGGGTCGAGCTCCTCAGGGGAGAGGGATGTCATCTGGTTGGTCTGTGCAGCTCTGCGTCCAGCGGAGGCGACAGTGCGTTCGTCCCTCAAAATCATGGAAGAGCTTTCGGGCCGGGGGTCCCATCTCGGCTCGTCTCACGATGTCTCGCGTCTTCCTCCACTTGCCTTCATCTCCAGGTGTGAAGGCCGCCTTGCGTACCAAAGAGGTGCAGGTGGGGAGTTGGCCGGAAGAGGGCAGCTGGGAGCAAGCTTACATTGATGAGCTTAGCGAAGGTGGCAGCACATCCAGCTGCAGATGGATTTGCCGCTTGGTTAGAATGAGGAGTCATGGTTCGTCTCAGTGTCCTGAATCAGCCTCTTGAGAGGTGGCCAACCTGCTGTGCGTCCTGCCGAAACCTGGCAGGCAGGAGCAGCTGGATCCTGCTAGCTGCGGGATGTTCGCACGGGCCGTGACAGAGAATCTGAGTTAGTTGCAGACAACGGTAGCCGGTAGCAGCTCACAGCCAGTAAGGCCATTAAGCATGTTCGCATTGGCCTGTGTTTCTCATGACAACCTCGATCACGCCTCCTTCAACCAGATAGGTGGTGTTACTGGAGTTTGAAGCACCTCGAACGGACCAATACGATCAGCGCATGTCATCCGCTGCGGTGCAGGCGAGGGATAGTGCATCCGGGTTGGCAATCCGTCCGTGAAGTGAACCTTTCAGTTTTGCCCTCAAGACACCACTTACGTGAGTCAAGCATCACTTGTTAGTGCATTTCCGCATAAACAATGAAGCTTCTGCGGGTTTTGGTGTTCCAGATTCCAGAGCTACGCTTTGCCAAGGTCTGGTCGACAGAAGAAGCCGCCGTGTCCTGGTATCGCCAGCTGTGGGCTCTGTCATGCAGATTTGTAAACTATACACTCTGCTTTAGCAACGGTAGTCTTCTGTGACGTTGACCTGGTTCGCTGCAGAGTCATGACATGACTCGTACTTGGAGCTCGAGGTCAGATGCCCATGCTGCTATCCTTTCGCAGCACAAAGAGGGCAAGCTTAGGAAGCCTGTCCCAAGATTCAAGACTTTTGTTGTTGAGATCGGGAATGGCGACAATAACTCGTCAGAGAAGCAAAAGTCGCAATTATCCCAGGACTTTCGGCAACCTGTTGCTGACGCTGAACGCGACAAAGGCAGCAGTATTTGGGACATACGGCCGATGCTTTCAGAGCCACAGCATCGTGCTTGTGCCACCGCGCTGCGAAGGTCGCTTGGCAGCGGCGCTGCAAAGCCTGTGCCGCGGTGGTCGAGGGATTCGCGCAGGGAAGGCACTCTGCATGCATCGGTGCCCTCTTGAAAAGTTGGCGGAAGGTGGAAGGTCAGGACTTCTTAAGTCCAGGGCGTGTTTCACCATCTTGAACATAAAGCCGGGCTGTGCCGTCAGAAGTACCTTCACTCCATCCTCGAACAGCTCATTTGCTTCACGGGAGGTGCCACCGCTGCGGTGCCGCGACTTACGACCTGCCAGCCTTTTGAGTCGAAAAAGGCGATACCCAGCGTTGCCTTCGGACCAGCTCCGCCACATCACTGCTGCAAAAACGGCTTGAGGGGTGAAGGCGGCTTCGGGCTCTTGGGTTACTGCAGTATGCAGCCCACGGTGAACAAGGATGCGTAGAGCTTTGTTGAACCGATTGCGACTGGCATCTCTGTGCCCTGTGCGCACTACGCTTTGTGACAGACTTCCTCGCGGTTGTGGTGCGGTTTGAATATATATATATATATGTATATATATATATAGATATGCATACATATCCGCCGCCTACAGTAGCCGTCGCATTGCGGCGATGTGGTTGAATTACAGTGCCAGTCTGCGAACATTACGGCCATGGACACCCGCAGGACAAGCCACATCAGGGGCAGAGTTGGCGGGCACAGAGAAGACATACACACAAGCGCACACAGTCAGGTCGGCCACTGTTGCGTTTATTCGTTGTATTTGTGGGCTAGATGAGGCCGAGTAGTTGCCATGTTCGCGCCTTTGCAACATTCCTTGCAAAGGCTGCGAGTCCGACATGTGCCCAGCAGATTGTAAGCAGTTCGCACCACACATATCGGTTTTGGACCGCCGCTGCGTCATCTCATTCGAAGGCCTGCCTGGATGCACGAAGGCAACTCGTTGCGAAGGTGCCTGGCTAGGGCCTCGGCGCGTTTGCATTCGAATGCTTGCTTTGATGCTAAATGCTCCGCAGACCGAGCTGACATGGCTTTGCGCATCAAGGAATCTGATTCACATCAACGCCGACCTCGCCATTTCTGCTTCGCAGGCGCATCTGCCGTGTGGAGATGCAGGTGCAGGGACCGTAAGGTCCGATGGAAGGAGCAAGCTACATTTTGTCCATACGTAAGCTGCATAAGTTCACACACATAGTATTTATATCTAGTGATCGATTAGGTCTTTACATAACCGCATGTATGCACATCTATACACACATACATACACATAGATAGACGGATGCATAAACATATATCATACATCATATATATATATATGTATATGTATATACATATATACATATGTACTTACACATAAATACATACATACATACATACATACATATCATACCATACCATACCATACCATACCATACCATACCATACCATACCATGCCATGCCATGCCATGCCATACCATACCATACCATACCATACCATACCATACCATACCATACCATCCCATGCCATGCCATGCCATACCATACCATACCATACCATACCATACCATACCATACCATACCATACCATACATACATGCGTACATACATTAATATGTACACACATGCACATATTACCTATGTACCTGCACATACTCGGGCATATACATATACCTCTATGTACGTTTACCGCAACCGTGTTGCATCTTTTGAGGGGCTGTCTTCTTTGCAGTAACGAGACAAGGATTTCGCACATCCTTCTAGTTCACCGCTTTTGTCTGTCTGACCTCCTTTAGTTATCTGGCATCTTCAAGTTCCTCAGACCCTTCATGTTGCTTAAATTAATGGATCTGCTGATTTCGACTCAGCAAATTCCATCGAACTCTTCAGCTCCTTAGGTTCTGCCTGAAATCGTTGAGGAGCTTTCACTGCCTGCAATAGCTTTGAGTTTTCGAATGACTGAAACTGCCCAAAGTCTTGTACAATGACTTCAAGACATCTCGGCAAGCTAAAGACATCAAACAGTTTCAGGATCTAAAGAATGTACGAATGCAGAAGTGCCGGCAATTAAAGAACTTGACACACCATGATTTCTAAACGCTCGATAAGCTGTGAATAATTTCGATAGCTACATGGGCCCAAAAGGGTTTACCTAGTCGAAAGAATGCAAGGAGTTGTTGAGGTTTACATGGGACAGTTTTCTCGTCTCTAAACAGACTGCGTACTTTGCTGCGACCATGCTGTGAAGGACCTGCGTCTTCTGTTCGGGGATCATCGCTAGTGGGGCGTACTTCTTCGGCATGAAGCGGCAGCAGGCTCGAAAAATCAGCAACATTTCTCACTAGCACGCAAGTGGATTTGCTGAAGTTTTCCGTTCTGCGAATTTAGCACCTGTTCCTCTTGTTCGGCGGTACTTATTCACAACATTTCGATTGAGTCGCGGTTTCATAGTAACAACTCGCCACAAAAGTTGCTAAGCCCCTGTGGCCCTGTGTGGCATTTACAACACAACATGCTGCGAAGATTGCGTCGGAGCTTATAACTTTTTGTTTGGATTTACTAGCTCTGTGGCGGTTACCAAGAGATTGGCGAGGATTTTGTTGGATAATTTGGTCGATCGGACTCGCATGTCGCGTGGATTCATATGTTTTTTTGTTTTGTGGATCATATGATGGCTGTTGGCGCATGTGATCAATTTATGAGAGCCTTGCAGATGGACTATTTTAACATTCTGATGATTGTGGCCACCAGTGTGCCACCAGTATCGCGATCACAAGCATACAGATCTAGTGTTCACGCTAGGCCTTCGGGTTATGTGGTAGCTGCGTCATGGTTCGTTTGTGCAGCGAGGGTTAACATGCACACTCAGACACGTACATATATGGGTCAATTTCTAGACCTACATACATACACTCATACATACATAGGTTTACGTGCATCAATGTTGAAAGTTTGTGCATTCGGCTATGCACACATTCAAATGAACGAAGTAGCGTATACATTAAAACCCTGGTGTTGCAGGCACAACCTGGTGTTATCGGAGGCATGCGTTTCTTTGAATGTCGAGGTTCACTGCTGTGCCTCCATGCAGTCCAAAGACGATTGCGCGGAGATGCACGGAGGTGCGCTGCCCGTGCCTGCAAAGCAGCTCATTGCAAAGTTTGCCCGTTTGATGCTTTGGTCGAGGAGTTTCGGACAGACTCCATGATCCCTGCAGGTTGCCACGCTTTGCTGCTCGGCCAGACCTGCTTCAGGCATTGCAGAGGCACGGGTTCATGAAGTTTCTCTTGCAAGGAACACCATATTCAATATGATTTGTCGCGTGTTACGTGTGTCAAGTCTCGCTGCCACCTGCTGTCGAGGAAGAGGTTGAAGCAGGACACGTGCGAGGAAGCACGAATCTTACTGTCTCTGGGCGGGTACAGTAGATGCAGATGCCATGTTAATAATGCTCGAGCCTGCCTACACGTGCATGCCTCTTGCATTCTTCGTCAGCTGCTGGCAAGTGCCTGCTGCCTGATGCAGTGCTTCGCTGTACGTATGACTCATACCGCTCTTCTGTTCGGGTGCTCCTTCGACCCGTAGCTTGCATCCGATAGAAAACCTCAAGCTGAATGTCCAAGGTGGCCGCCGGGTGGCTGGCGGTCAAGTCCTGCAAGGCGAGCGCGTGCGTTTTTGCACCTCGTGCGACGCCGGCACTGCTTGCACGAGAGACGTTGCAACTGTCCGGTTTGTCCTTCTAGAGTGTTTGTTTGCAGGGCGCGTCCTCAAGAGAAGAGGTGTGCCAGCCTCGGAGGTGTTGCACAAAGCCGTTCCCCATTGCCATTGTCGGTGCAAGCTGCGAGGGAGGGAGGGTAGGCTTCATTGCTGCAGGGAGGCAGCAGATGCATTGAGTGAGCTGGACGACGAGCACTTGGTCTGACTCTCAGAGCAGGCTCCAAGGAGGCCTCTTGTAACGTGGGCTGCCTTTGCCTCTAAGGTCGCTGTGCTTGGGAAGGTCACTCGACGGCCAGTTGACAAAGGCTCGGCTGCGGCACACGCGAAGCTGCGCGATTCACGAACAGGACCCTGAGAACAATTCGACATGTCGGTTTGAACGGTCTGGGCAGGGCACTGTGGAGTTGGCATGTGCCCAACAAAGTCTTGCAGAGTTACGCGCTTCCGATCATGACTTGGCAAATATTGGTACCTGCATGGTCGACTCACTAGCTGAATCCTTGAATCCGACACGTGGGATACTCTGGGAGTAGAGTTTCCAAGTCTGCCTCCGAGCTCCTGTGACGGGAACGCATCTGTGTGGCAGATGCGACTGGCACGGCCTGGGCGCTGCGCAAGGCCGCCGAATCCTTAGCCTTGGCGCATCTTCTGCCTACAAGGTTCCTATTCTAGGGAGCTTTTTCGGCGCCGGTCAACATCCGTCGGCTCGCTGCATGCATTCCATGTGATGTACAAATGCGTCTCAGAAGGCTTGAATCTGTGACATCTGTCATCCCTGAACAGCTGGGGATCCAAGCCCCTGAGATCTGGAATCATCGATTACACACATTTCACATTGGTGATGTCTTGATCTGAGGATGAATGGTTTTGCATGTGCGGGAGCTCGTAATTTCCGTGACATGCTTAGGCCCAAAACAAGCATTCCTCAAATTCGATGCCCCAGCTACTGCATTCTGTGTTTTTGGCAACTACTGTTGCTTCTTGTTCAGCGCAAGTTTCCTTCACCGTCACAGTCACCATCACATGCACACCCACCGTCCCGAAGAACAACACTTGGCCGTATGAGTAAACGTACTCCGCAAGTGCAGCTGCCGGTTGCAAGCCTTTTTCTCAGCTTGCCTTTTTTCTGTCGGCTTCGTGAACCTGGACGACAATGCAGAATGTACGGCTAGCATTGGTCGCTACTCCTGTTGTTGACTTAGTCGTTGGTCCTCCTTCGACGATTCGATCTCCGGCCGGAGTAACATAACTTCGGAGACCACAAAGAAATGGTTTGGTTCTGCCTGCTGCCGATATGTCTGCCATGATTGGTTCTGCTGTCCATGTAGAAGGCAGTCACATTGTTGATGCTGCAAGCTCCAGCGCAACAAGGACGACCGAGCCTATTTTACGTACCTGGCGAAGCATCCGGAGGCTGACCAGCACGCATCCCATTCACCCTCCATACAGTGTATTGGTAGCTTTACGTCTTTCATGTTTTCCCTATCAAAACTCGGCTTGTGCCTTGCAACAGGTGTATGCGGAGCAGCTTCAGCAACGAAATCGGTGGCGAGAAGGGCTCCCACAGGTGGCGTTGCAGACTACTGGATCACCTCCCGCAGCTCTCACTTACTCTGTGTTACAGGTTCTCATGGTTGCGGAAAAGCCATCAGTGGCGCGATTGGTCGCGGAATTCCTGTGCCCCCAGACCGAACGACTGCGGGAGAGAAGGTGGATCGCTTGCAGCACGTGTTATGTGATATGAGCAATACTTGTGCTTACATGTGCTAGGTCTGGCTAGATCCATTAAGACAGCGTTCTTGTTATCGTTCTCGATTTGGTTGAACTGAGCAGTGGGCACGATTGCGGCAGCGCGGCTCATCGCAATTCGTCCTGCAGCAACTCACGAATTCCGAGGGATTCGGATACAATCATGCCACGAGTCCTCGGCTTGCTACGCTCGTCTCGACCTTGTGTATTTTGCTTTTGCTTTATTCGGCCTGCCGCTTCTGTGTAATTCTGATGATGAAGTGCATCTCGCTTGGCCCACAATTCACCTTGGGCTTTGTGGAAAGGGGCTTGTCTCCGGCGTGCCCGGTGCTGGAGTTTGCTGCTGTCTTTCCGTTGGGCCCTCAGTTTCATGGTATCAAAATGTTTCGTGTGTATGGTCATCTATCCACTACTGTTGCTCACCATCCGTCTGTCGTCTGTTGTCGACTCCGAGTTAACAAATTCACAGGCGAAGCACATGCTCCCGCTGTTGCCTACCACTTCATAGCATAATTAGGGAGAAATCCAAGACCTGAGAAGCAGCTTCAGCCTCCGATATGTACATTTCTGTCACTTTGCGTGTTGCATTTCGGGTTTCCTGGCCTCCGGCGTCCGAGGCCTACCGGCCAGCGCAGCGTGATCTGCGTGACCTCGGCGACTTGAACGAAGATTCATTGGATGGACAGCCAAAGTCTTTCAACTCTTCAGCTTGTCTAGCTGTCAGGTGATTGGCCACATTTTTCAGCTCGAGTTTGCCAGGCACCCGGTTGTGACATGGTTTGCTCAGCTCGTTGCAGATCACGCCTCGCACGTGGGCAAAGTGAATATGAATAGGCAACATATCCCTAACGCAGTGATGAACCGGCGTTGTTCAGTCAGGATGATCGCCTTCCAAAGCAGTTGGCGGGTATCTACGAGGCAGGGGCCGGAAAGCGTCGCCGACTCCCACCCTCAACCAGCAGCTCGTTGCCTCACCAGGCTCCGGTTGTGAAGACTTTCACTGACAGCGCACGCAAAGCCCGAGTGGCAGAGCACTTACAGGACCCGATGCCGCTTGCGGGCCTTCTTCTTCTCTCTCCTCCTTCCTCTCCACTGCAGGAGCTCGCCGAAGCATCGTCGCACCTCTGCCTGTGGTTGGACTGTTCTTTCAGCTGCACCAAGCCAACACTTGTATGAACGGGCAGCAGCTGAATCGCAGAGTCCCCTGCGGTCTTCTCCTAGATGCTTAACGATCCCCGTGCAGGATGCAGATCGCGAAGGAGAAAACATCGGTTTCGAGGCATCATTCGCAGAGCGCAGAACATCACAAATACATCCGCAGAGATCTTCCGTAATGGCCTGTTTGGTGGATCTTCGGGGTCTGCTCGCAGGTCATTGCCGTCTGCAGAGACAGGTTTCCGGACAACTCGTGGGCCTGGCTCCTTGTAAGCCATGACTCTGCTGACATGGGCCCGGGCCGCCAGGAACGTCCATCGGGCCATCTTCTCTGCTCTTACGCGAGAAGAGGCCAGAACTCCAGCAAGCAAGGCTTCCACTTCTAGCAAGACTCAGCGATGCAAAGGCTCCGCCTTGAACTCGGATCAAGCCATGGCCATAGAGAGGGCGAAGTAGACCTGGCTGTACCAAGCAGCTCGATGGCCCTGGCGCCAGCCTGGAAAAAACCACGGGCAGCGGGCCCTGTGGTATGGTGGCTGCGGAATGACTTGCGCTTGGAGGAGACCCCAAACATCATGCCTGTGGTCGATGTTGCATGCAGCAGCTCTGACGTACCAGCTTCTGCACTGGATGTAGTCGTAAGGAACCGCGAGCATGAGCAAAGTTTTATGAGGACAATCCAGTTGCCCGAGCAGCAGTGGCGGAAGCGCTAGTTGACCAGCGCTCGCTGTTGTCGGTCTTCGTGTTCGATCCTCGATTCCTGGATCGTCCGTGCCCAAGACTAGAGCTGCTCTGCACCGCTTTCGCCGTCCGACGAGCCAGTGGATCAGGCTCGAACTACGGCCGCGTTACCGATCCTGAGTTCAAGAAGTCCATCAGTACTCGAAAGCCAGCTGCTTGACAGGAAATCGAAAGTAAGGCGTGAGTCTGCAACCTCGGAGCTCAATGTGTGCACTGAGCAACTGCTTTTGGTCTGCGTGTCAGTTTGGCGAAATAACAACCTGGCCAGAGCGGCGTCTCTGCCCCCAGTGCGTTCCAGGTTGATTTCGGCAACCGCAAGACGTCCGCTCTTCGAGCTCGCTTTTGGCTGCAGTGTGTCCGAGCAGTAGGCCAAGACATAGTGAAGCGTGGAGGAAGCTTTGTGGCCACTTGGCCGCCATCAAGCCTCGTCGTCTAGCTCGGGGCTTGTCAATCCATGTGAGAGTCTGTGGCCAAGGTTTGCCACGGCCGACCAGAAGACGTCTTGGGGTCGCTGCCGCAAGGATCGTTGGTCGTCTGCCAGAGTGCCGCTCGGCGAAGGTCTTCTCGGTTGGAGTCAGAGAGCTTTGACAGCCCAGGAACCAGTCTCCCCGGAGCAGACCGACGTGGAAGATGCGGTGGCTTTGTCCCTCAAAAGCCGCGGCAGCGAGCTGCGGCGAGAGTGGGGCGCCATGAGCCTGTACCACTGCCAGGATGTATCGGGCAGCACTTCGAGTTTTCGAGGTTCTCAATGAACGCATGCAGAAGCCATGAAAATCGCAGGACTTGCCTTTTGGCCTCAATGCCTCGCCTGGCAACTACACTGAGCTCACACTTACACTGGGCTGGGAGGAGTGAGCTGCTAGACTCCTAGATTCATGACCACTGAGATGTGCTGCTGCGTTTCCGTCTGCTAAAGAGTTCCCCCTCTGCAGGACCTTTGGCGTTCACCTGCGCGATCCACGACGGCCACACCCATCCGCTTTCCCGTAGCAGCGCCTCAGACCTTCCCCAAGGCTGCAGTGCCCTGACTGGCACTTGTCGGAAGCAGCCTGGTCGACGAGCGTGCAGTACCCCCGATGTCTCGCAGGGCTGGCATGAGAAGGTAATGAAGGTATCAGTCCGTTACGAGCTGGGATCCGGTTGCGCAGTGCTGATGGGCTTTCATCGCAGCGGACTTCTCGCAGAAGCAGTTTCGGATGGGTTTGACGGTCTCGGGTAAGGTTTGCCCGAGCTCAGGTCCTTCCCGACGACTTGCCAGGAACCATAGGCCCTTCGGTCCTGGAGAATGAGCGAGACGCTTGCCGCATGAAGAAAACGATGTTGCCAAGTACTCCCATATGCTTCCAAATTCGATGTCTCGCCGCAAGGAAGCGCTGAAGCTCTTGGGCTATGACGACCAAGAGATTGAAGAGGCCGCAAGATCTGTTTTTGCAAGCTTGTCGTCTTTGCTACAGCGCTGTCGCAGACATCCTGAGTTCAAGTTGACTAACTGATAATGCATGGCTACATCTTCTGTCAGAGGACGTGTGGCATGTGAAGATATCCAAAAGCTGCTATGCCTTTGATCTTGCTGACGTCGACACCTCTGTATCGCTAGCATTCATGCTGAGTCTATTAACTCTACTTAATACAGAGGCGGTCTTCGAAGCAGGAGGCAAACCAGCAGTCAGGTGTAAGGATGAGACGTCCAACGCACCTGGACTATATACGCCCAGCAAAGAGCCCGTAGAGATCCTTCTACGTATAGCTCTGCAGCATCGAATCTTGTCCCCAAGGCCATGGCGCAGCAGATGCCTCCTGGAGGCGAGACCTCCGCACGCGAGCTTCTCGAGCGCTGGCTCAGAGAGGACTTGGAAGTTCCCAAGGCCGGGCGGCTGACACGGTCGGTGTGGCTTTGAGTGTTTTCTGCCAGTATGACTCTAGGAGTTTCTGTGTCGCGTCTAGCACCGAGACTGCTCGTAGCCTTTGATTTTGGGAATGGGATGCTGAACAGCACGCAGTTGTTCTTTAGCGCTGCGGCCACTTGTGCAACACGGGCTTCTCCTCGGTGGTGCTAGCAACCGCGTGTGGCAATTCGATAGCAGGTATGGGTTGCTAACTGCCACGCTGTCCAGTCTTGCACACACTTGTGACACACGACTGTCCTGAAAGGTGCTGGCCGGCGTGCGTGGCGTTGTAATGTTGAGTGGAGGGTTGCTGCTTGGGGGACTCTAATGTGGGCGCTTTGGCAAGCCCTGTCAACACGGCGTACTACCAGTAAGACTCATGACCCTAGGTATGGCGCCAAAACCTACATATTGATTTTGGATTCGGCGTGCTGAATGTAAAACTACTATCTCCTCAACGGTGGTAGCATACGTTTGCTGCAGTTGGATTTTCGCTTTCCAAAAGCTTGTTCCGCAAGAAGGTGTCTCATTGGTGCTGCCAACCGGCCGTGGCATTTGATTTTGGGTTGGGGTTGCTCAGTGGTGGCCTTGCAAACAGTCTTTGAGCACTTGTACCACAAGTGTCTGTCCTGAATGATGGTAGCAGCAGTGCGAGGCGTTTTGTTTTTGGGTTTTGGTTGCTTAGTGGTAGGCATTCCACAAAGTCTTGCGGTCAGATCGATGCCGCATCTGCCGCTTGGGTTCCCTGTCTGTCTGGCTGTGAGGTGCAGCAGGAGCTCCCTGTCTTCTGGGATCTGCCCACTGGCGGGCAGGACGCCTCAGGAGGGAAGGATCCGCTGCAGTGGGCGAACCTCGCGCGCCCTGACGGCTGGCTGCGGGCAGCGTGCCGAACGATTGGAACACGCATGAGCACAGTGCTATCCCTAGATGACTCCAGTGATTTATTGAGTCAGCCGCGGTCAGCCCAGATCTCCCACTACATGGCGGTTGGCTGCATCTCAGCCCGAGATGCTTGCTGCAATTATGCCCGTCGAGTTTTGCGCCCGTGAACCAACGGGGTCCTTCACCTTCAGGAGATCTTGGCACGCGCCGAAGACTCGCCGAACTTCAACGGTGTTGCACACCGGCTCTTGTGGCGTGAGCTCCACCGTCTCAATGCGATCAGGTGCGAAGGGTCCGGAAAGAGGGCACGACAAGAGACTCAGATTCGGATCCTGCTGCAACCATGCAAGAGGTGGGGTCGCCGCCTCTTTTGGCTTCAAGGTCCAGGCCGTGTGGAGCGTCCCTGGTCGTGGGACACTTCCCTCGTGGATGCTTGGAAGGTGCGGCCGAGCAAGTACAGATTTGGGCTTAAAGTGCATCCTACAGACCCCTGTCAAATCCATTTACGCCCTTCTTCCAGTGTCTTGCCTAGGTTGGCCGCACAGGAGTTCCCTACATTGATGCTTGCATGCGTGAGCTGAAGCAGACTGGCTGGCTGGCCTACAAAGGTCCGGCACGGCAGATACATGGAAGAGCTGCTCATTTCTCTGTCGCCGTACTTGGTGCATGCTGCTGGGTCAGGCCGCAAAACCGCCGGCTTCTATTTCGTCTTTATCCTCGGATTGGACTGGCGGTGGGGTGCGTTTCACTTCGAGGATGTGCTCCTCGACTATGATGTGGCCATGAATTATGGGAATTGGGTGGTGGTGGCAGAGGCAGGGCTCTTGATGGCTGGTGCTCATTTTCGTGCATTGAAGCTTGAGAGTATTGTTGACGCAGGTGGACAAACAGAACCGTGGAGCTCATGGTTTCACTTCACTGGAAGACCTCGCTGCCTGGAAGCGCGATGAATTTGAGTGGAAGCTGACAGCGGAAAAGACGCTCCGGTCAGATATTTACGATTTGGATATTTTGGTAGATAGGTGAGTAGTGTGGCTTGTTACATGGAGTAGTTGGGTGTTCCGGGTAAGGGCGAACGATGCCTCCGGATCCTACATCAAGCGCTGGCTACCCGAGCTGGCTAACGTGGATGCCTCTTTCGTTCATCATCCCTGGACAATGACGCAGGAGCAGATGGCCAAATGTCGCCAGACTGAATCGTCGAGCCCAACGATCACTGAGACCTGCAGTGTGCCTTTGTGCCTGAGAAGCGAGACCCGTCTGAGGTGGCTGCGTGCTCGGCAAAGATTACCCCCAGCCAATGGGCGGTCCATTCCAGCTGAAGGACAAAAATGGCCCACATCTGTCCGTGATGAGCTAGTAGTATCTTGTCAGTCTGCTTGTCCATTCTACGCCTCCTTTCGCCAGGAGCAGGAGGACATGAACGCCACGGTCGACACTTCTGATGCATTGGAGCGGCGCTCGCATCCAAATGATCCTAACGGATATCCGTACACGTCCGAGAGCTCAGCTTTGCAATCGTTTTTCAGGAGAGTGAGTTGACGGTTGACGATGCGCTTGCAAGGTTCAAAGAGTTTATTGACTTCGCGCTTGCCCGTGGAAGCCCTGCCAGCTTCGGCAAGCAATGTTGGGAGCAATGCGTCTAAAATCAGTTGCTCCTCATGCACCTTACAACTTTCTTTGCGAATTCGTGTTGCGAAGGAGGAGTCGTTGCCGGTGACCAAAGCACAGCCATCTCCCCAGATGGAGGCCCAGAAGACTCTCCCAACTCCCCGACCACGGCATGGCTCTGCTTTGCCAGGCGGAGGAGAAGCTCCGGACACTTCCCGGCGCTTGAGGCGTCCATGGCAAGCTGGGTGACAGAACGCGATCTCGATTTGCTGAGCGTTGTGATCGTACTCAGCATCAAGTTTGTCATTAGTACTTCACCTTCATGATCTAAGAGTGATCAAAGGCCAGTTGGGTGAACAAACGACAAGCTTGCTGTTCTAAGACTTTCTAAATCGGCTGGCATTGGCAAACATGCCAGTGCATAAGCCTTTTATAGCAGGCCATGTTTGACGTGTGCCTGATTTGAATGTCCTGCAGTGGAAGCGGCGGCGCAGCGCAGCCTAGTTTCCAAATCAAGTTCATGCCAGGTGCGAATGGGAACTGCTAAGCTGGTCTTGGGTCTTATGGATATTTTGACGTGTTGTGATATTGTGGACTTCTTGCGGGAGTCCGTTGCTAACTGTTGGTCACTTCGTTTCAAGCGCGCTAGCTCGATTCCTGGAGACTAAGCATTGTCAGTGCCTGAAGTGTCCAGAACGCAATGTTTTGTCAATAATATGCGATTGTATTGCTTCGATTTGGCGCCCTCAGTGAACGAGCGACTGCTCCAGCTTGCTCCAAGAAAGCAGCCCCGACACATCCAAGGTCGCAGCATCGTTCAATCAACTGGGCCGCCCTAATATGGCGGTGGCACAAGGCGTTGATGCTCGGCAGGTGGATGCCTCAGTTGTTGTCCAAGTGAAGCTTGATATGCATGGGCGAAGAGTCGTGATCGGGAGTTACGCGTCTTGTTCAGGAATTGGATTTGCGCATCGGCATCTCCTTCAGCAGGCTGCTGACTCGCTGCGGCCCTACAGATGCACCTGAGAGTCGCATGCTGATCAGCTCGAGTGGCAATACCCAGGCCGTCAACTCAAGCTCCCAGCAATAGACCTAACTTACAGCGAAATTGTCGTCAGGCTTTCATCCCAGCCGGTGTAGCAACAGTGGACGTCTGGCATGACGCCCTACGCGATGGACACAGCAAGTCAAGGTTCCTGGACACTACCCTTCAGAACGAGTTGGAGCAGGGACTCCGGGACATGCCGGGATGCAACACCTGCGCTCGAATTCACACCCGGGACTCCCACATGTTCGAAAGGTTCCTTGCAAAACCTGCAGGCGGGTACAATTTGTCCTGCAGCACAAGCCTTCTAAACGTTAGACCGGCACGGTCCTCGTCACGTTTCGAACGAGCGGCTAGTCGCGGCTAGTCACACTCATTGTCATTCGTCTCTGTCTGTCTGTTTGTGTGTCTGTCTCCGTGTTTGTCTCTGCCTGTGTGTTTGTGTTTGCGCGCCCGTCTGCTTGGGCCTGTTTTGCTCTGTGCATCTGGGCGCTTCTGTTTCATGTCAGCATCGCATCTATGGCAGCATTCGCTGCCTAGGTCAACTCACCAACACGCTTCTTGGCAGTGTCAAAATAGGCGCCGGGCTCTCAACGCCCATAGTGCCTTGTTGTCCTGAGCAGCCAGTGTCACCACCAAACGTCATCAGTTCTACACTATCACCACTCAGGCCAGCAGATCAATCACTTACGGGCCTTGCCAGACGCCTGCGCTAGGCCCCGCCACGTTGCTATGATTCAAGCTCCTGTGCTGTCGTGTCCGGATCAACTTTCTCGGCATGGGAGGTTTCTGTGCTCAAAGGCAGCGGGAAATCGAGAGCTTCCAGCCGCAAAAGCGCTGGACCCCGGAGGCCGGCCGACAGCTATGGCGTTGTACTTTGGGACCTTTGAAGACGCTTCTCCTCCTCCTACCATCACATGCTGCCCTCTCGCTGAGGTGGAGCTACGGCATGCTGGAAGCTCGCTGACGTTCGTCACAGCCTCCGATACTGCAAGCATGTCGGAGGTTAGGCTTTGCGCGCCAGCATACGCGTGAGATCCCGGTCGAACCGTAGCTGGCCACTTTGAATACCTACAGCGCTGCAAGGTCGAATTCGTAAGGCATGAGTGAAGAAACCAGTGTACACATTCCCTGACAAACTGAGGCCTGGAAGCATGGCCAGCTGGATGATGAAAAGCAGGCCTGCCATTTTACTTCGGGCTTCGGGATCCACCTGTCGGCATTTGCGGACAGGCCATGGCCCTGGAAGAAGCGCTTCTATCCAGGCCAGCTCAGCGCTCAGATCGTCTGAAGCCGAATGGAAAAGCACCGTAGAATGGCTAGGATGGCCTGGCTGGCCCAGGTGGCGAAGCTGGGCTCCAGCTCCAGCATCCCCGAGGCTGCTCTCCAGCTACCGTAAAGCCCAGGCCAGTGTGAGAGAGGAAGCCTCAGGTGCTCCACCGGCCAACAGGCTTGAACACTGTGCAGCTGCTTCGATCTGCCAGCAACGCGCCGGGTGTCCCAGAGAGGACTTGTTGCCTCCCAAGATCTCCCAAGCCTGCTTGAAGCCTTTCGCATTGAGGCTGGGCCTTGGCCCAAAGCAGGCCATGAAAGTCGCAGAGGAGTCGCATGCAAGTCGTTGCAAGGGCAGGCGATGGCAGGCGCAAGCGAACTGGGAAACTGCAGGGTGTTCGCGTTGCTGCGGAGGACCTGTACTCCGCCGGCATCATCTCCTACCCTCGAACAGTTGCTCGGCCGGATCACAAAAACATCCCGATCCCCGATATTCCCCGATCCTGCCCTGTGTCCGAAGAATGCAGCCCCAAGTACCGCATCAGGGCTATCTAAGGAAGGAGCCCATCTCAGGGAGTGCTCTTTACGTCTTGGCAAGCTTCCAAGGAGACTACGCGCTACCACGAGACGTTTGATGCAGAGGTGCGACATGCAGCTCTGCACACAGCGCTTTCGCAGACAGCTAGCAACACGTCGCGGAAGTCAATGCTTTCCGGAGCAAATCTCTGTTGATTGTTCTTGCAGGCATCGCTCCGCCCCTTGAGCCGCCACCCAACCTTCGGACGCAGCTCGCCTGCTAGAGACTCGTTTTTCGAGTCATGCAGAAATCGCAAAGGAAAATGGATAGGTATTGAACCAAGGTATGATAGTGGGCTCGCGGGCTCGCGGTGCGCGCAGTGCTCGTTGCCGAGGAGCAGCGAAAAGCGCCCTGGGTGCGTGGCGGTCGCTGGCTGGCAAGGCTTCGCCATGAAAGCCGCAGCAGGCCATTGTCAGCGGGCAGATCCTGCCAGGCGCAGAGCTACCGGGCGCGGGACGTCGGGGACCATCCTCCAATCGTGCCGCTGAGGGTGGCAGTGCCAGGCTCAGGTCCATGCTCAGGTCCTGTTCGAAAACGCTTGGCCTGGCATCAGCTTGTGACGAAGCTGCTGAGGGACCGGACGAGCTCAGATCCGCTGCAAGGCGCCTTTACGACTTTGTTTGCCAGAGGCCCAGAGCAGTTGCTCCATGCAGGACTGAAGTGTTTGAAGACGAAGATGAATCTGAATCTTGTTTGAAGCTGTCAAGCTGCAGCCCTGTGGAAAGGTCGACATTTCTTGGCCTCGTGGCTCGGTGACGTGAAACTGGAGAGAAGAGAGGCGCCGCTCCTATTGCTCGATGTCCTTTCTCTGTTTTGTTGCAAGTGGAAAGCACCTGAAACTTGCAAGTCTATAGAACCTTGGCTGCCTGCCATTATGCCTACAAGTGCTGCATCTCCAGAAGCTTGGGCTTTCTGCACAAAGCTGTGTGCACGGACAGCAGCTACTATGCAGCATGTGATGCATGTACTGCATGACTCCAGGCATGGATTGCGCATGCTCTCGCCTGACTGGCTCAAGTCAGGGCCGCAACAAATAGTAGAGTGCGCGTGCACAGTTTTGGACGAGGACGTTTGATTTCCATGACCTCCAGAAGTTCACCCAGGAGGCTGGGGCATCCGTTGGGGAATTGCGAAGGGGCAGATCGTGCTCTGCTGCTCTGCTCTCTTTAAAGGCGGCTTGGCCGCTGCACGCTTCTGGCCTTGGCCCTCTGCCTGGGCGCACACGTGGGTGCTGTGAACTTCGCAGCACCGGACGGCCGACATGCCCAGACCCCAAGAGCAAGGGCCGAGGCAGAGGGGATGCACTCTAAGAGATCTGGCTGCTGTAACCGCCCCCTCAAGCGCGCCGCCAGGTTGGCCACGGCCTGTCAGCTAGACCACGGAGTTTGGCAATGAAGGCATCGAAGCTCGATGCCCTTGGCTTCAAGAAACAGCTGGGAGCTTAGCCTGCAGGTGCAGGCTCGACGGCGTTTGCGATGGCCTGAATGTTCCCGAGGCAGATAAATGATGCTGCCCGGAACGTGGCTTTCATCGCCGTTATCGCGGGCACCATTGCATCTAGCTGGATTTTCACTGGCAAGTGGTGGAAGGCCCCGAGGACTTTCTTGATGTTTTGGCCATGGCCCCATGGCCCATCCACAACCCACGGCAGGTGCCACTGGGGCTGGCGCTGCCTTCCATGCTTTATCGCCTGTGGACCACTAGAGGGAACACGGAAAAGCTGGCGCAGGCGGCTTCCTCGATAGGCTGCGTGAGGCATGAGCATCCCTCTCATCTTGTGCGCAGGTGAGCGCTTCAGTTGACTCGAAGTACATTGCCAGCACAGAGGAGGCATTCACACTCGGCGTGAGCTGAGCGCGATTTCGTCACATAAGCCTGAGTTTCCGACAGGCACAGCAGGAGCTGCACATGTTCATGTGCAGTAGCTGTGGCTACACGCTGTTCCCGGCTAGGCTCCGTCTGCAAAAAAGAGACTGGAAGATCTCAGCAGAGTCGCTTTTTTCCATGCAGGGGCCGAGAAGGCGCCTTCTTCAATGACAAGTTCAAATGCCCGATGTGTGGGGCGTCAAAGGCGGGTGCGAAAGCTTTCATTGCAGTCTGGGCAAAGTCATTGGAAGATGTTTGGGAAGGAAGAGTTCGTTGACATGAACGACGACGAAGATGATGGCAGCGCTGCTCTTGCGGCAGCCGCAGCCAGGGCGGAGAAGGTGCTGCAAGTCCTACTTATTCCGTCTTTAAAACACAGTTCTTCTTGGCTGGGTCAGAAGCATATGTCTGCCATGCAGGGGGAGGCCCCTGCTGCCTGAGGGCCCGATGGCCTAGCTGAGGCCCTGTCTTATCTCAGGGGGTCGCGTGCCTTTCTCGTTTCGCAATTTTCGCATTGCGGGGGTTATATCGGTGGTATGTCGGCAGATGGCCGAGCAGGGGCCTATCAATGGAGGAGAGTCAGGAACATAAGCAAGACTGGCTGCAGCAGTACCTGAAGCTGCCTGACGAAATTGGCCGCGGCTTTCGCTCTGGGTTTCTGTGCGCGGAGCACCTAACATGACAAGAGCATTGCTTGGAGCAAAGATACTAATTGTGGTTTGGTGGGTTTGACGTTCTGACACAGTTATGCCAAACATTATGCAGAGGGTGCTCCGTGTCAGTGTTTGAGTTCTGCTCGACACCCTGCTGCATCATGATTTTCTTGCTTTGTCAGGGGTAATATTCCATCTGCGATGAGAACATCCGATGGAACTCGAAGCCTTCTCGTCACCGTGTAAATAGCAGAATCAGAACCGCATCTCGCGACACAGCTGTTGTCTGATGTGATCTTTCCGGCTCAATCGGCCCCAACATATCTACACACGCTAGCGACGACTTACATGATCCCGGAGCCTCGGAAGCTTGTGGCGGTTCTGCTATGGGCAGGGAAACCAAGCCCGCCATTTGTCTCGCTTGAAGCAGAGCTGGAAGCCCCCGCTTGTCCTGGTCTTCCAGCTTTAAACGCTTCTGTGCGCGCATCAAACCTGGGAGAGCCCGGCATAGAAAGCGTTCTGCAGAACCGATGAGTTTCTAGCCGAAGACCGTCGAGGCCCCATGCCAAGTGATCCTCTTGGTGCCCTTCTCCACACTTCACTTGAAGCACCCGCCGCATTTCCACCGCTAGTTTTGCGTGGCAATTTAGTTCAGTGATGCCCAACACTTGCCAGGCATGTTTCGGCATTGGCGAGTTTGACTTCGAAGTCGTGCTGAGAAGGTGCATTGTGAAGATCTGCCAAGCGTGCAACGATGGATCGTGGGGAACGATGCTGGCGAAGCTGATCGAACCACGCCATGAAATCAAAGGCTGCCCAGAGAGCGTGGCTGGCTTCAAGCCCTGGCCTCAGCTTGGGGGGCCTACACAGGCAACAGACCAGAATGTCTTGGAGTCGGAGTCTTTGTCAAGGTTTTTCTTGAACGATCTGGCTGCTTTCTAGGTCATGCCATGGCGCATCGACGAACTTCGTCTGGAGGAAAACCTATCTCTAGTGCAGTTGGAGTATGAGAGGGTGTGGAGGGCGACCAACCTCACATGGCCACTGGCCCCTTCCTCCAGCGGGGGTGCCAGGACAGCACAAAGCGACTGGACTGCCTTGACCAGCTCGTCGCCCAGGCCCCCTTTTGGAGCGTCGCTGAAGCTAGCACAGAGGATGCAGCCGTACAATCGGCTCCTTCGAGGACACTCTCAGATGCGTGAAACGGAGAGTCCACGAGAGTTTTCTGCGTGTCCTTGCGCGGCTACCACGTATTTCTGCAGGGCACGGCAACGATCAGCAACTGGACGTTGGGACAGTCCTGGACGGGCGCAGTCTGCAGCGCATAGAGAGGGTCGAGTCCGTAAGTTGTCACGCCTGTGAAATCCGCGAACTGCCAGGACAGAAGCCCCATTACCGCACGAAGCTCGGACTCAGTTGCCGCGAGGGTAGCAGTTTCCACTCACAAGTCGCTCTTATTCGACGTGACGTGCTGTGGCAACTGAATGCAACTGAGCCACATTCGCTTTGTCAGGTTGACGGAGGCGGAGCTGGTGGACCTGATGGACAGGACCCGTTGTGTTGGCTGTCAGCACCCACAATGCCAGCAGCCGGCGCCCCTCTACTGTATTCACACATGACGGTGAGCTTCCGGACCGCAAGCAGTGCTGCATGAACTCGTGGCTGTCTTGCTTGTGCAGGAATGGGATTGGCACAGATGCGTCGATTCCACAGCACATCCAGACAATCCAGGCATCGAGCGCTGGGCATGTTGCTAGGATCCTTCTTATTCTCCTTGAAGCTTTTTGCAGGATCGCGGCTACGTGCAACTCTGTGATGGCAGTGGCGCACCCATTGAGACAGCGAAGGCCTGCATTTCTGGACTGATCTTTTCCGGTGATTTATTGAAACGCCGCAAATGACTGGCCTGATTGGAGCCCTGGAGACGCAGAGGCTGGGGCCTTCGGACGGAAGCGAGGCATGCAAATGGCAAAGCCGCACATGCCGTGAGAAGAGGACGCTCCGAAAAAGTGGCCAGGACGGCCGAGCCAAAGACCAAAAGCACCGGGGAGGTACCTTGTCCCCACGCCGGGGCGCCAGCGAGCACAGAGCTCTTGCAGAACCAGGGCCGAAGAGAATCTCTAGCCGCTAGCCTCTCCGGCCTCTGCGGTTCACGGAAAGCAATGGTTGCGTGCTCTTGCGTGCTCAGCAAATTGAGAAACCTTGGTCTGAGGGAGCGAGGAATGGCACTTGTCCGCGGCCTCAGCCACCTTGATGCTTCGCTGTGTGAGCCCGAGGCAGGGCCAGTTCAGATCTCCAAAACGTCCCGAAAGTTTTGACTACCCCGAGCAGGTTCGTGCGCTGATCGAGCGCGAGTGCGCCATGGTGGCCCGCGCGGAGCTGCAGCAGGACGAGGAACGGACGGCCCAGAGAATACTCAGGGATTCTGCATGAAGTTGGGCAAGGGGATGCAAGGGGGTAGAAACCACTCCTTAGTCTTTAAACTGCACAGGTCTTCCCTGGCACAGGGAACGGTCAAGGGAAGGAGCAAGCAACCGGTGCCACACCACAAGATGGTTTCCGAGTATTTGCGGACTGTGTACTGTGCATTAGGTCAATGTGCGTGGCTAAGTACACCTTGTCGACCACAAGTGCCAGTCCACGTGCTACTTGTAGCTGTTCGGCAGGTGCTGAAGCGCAACATCGAGCTGTTCCAGGGCAAGTTCAAGCACGTGGAGCGTAGCGTAGACGAGTCGGGGTCCAATTTGGTTTGCTCCGCCATGTCTTAGCCCAACATCTCGGAAGCCACACCTCTGCGCCACTGCCCCCCTTGAAGCATCCCGCAAGGCTTCGGACTTTCTTCCAGAAAGCGCCTGGAGGCCACCAGCTTTCGCTCAGGAACCTCTGTTTTGCTAGTTAGTGAGATCCCCGAGCAAGCTCCCGCACTCGCATGCTATGCGAAGGTGCGCGCAAAGGTGCGCGCAAAGGTGATGCTCGCCCTGTGACTGGCAAAGCCAGTCGGAAGAATCGTGCCCGCGGACAAAAACTCACCGGAAGTGAATTTGAGGGCTGTGGCAGGTGGAAGTGGAAGTGTGTCCAAGATTTATGCCCTGCGGGACACCGGCACACGTTACTCTTGTCTCTGCTGTCGGGCTCCGGCAACATGGCGCTTTCATGAGGGCACAGGCGCGACATCATGAGCTCATGCAAAGATCCGGCCGCAGGTAAGTGAAAGTGGGCAGCACCTGGGCTTGTTTCGGGTTGGGGGATTACATTAGGCCTTGATATCCAGCCATGGCGGATGATCTCGATTTTGATGCAGTCGAGCAGCTGTTGGACAATGCTGAGACTTGGCTCTTCATAGCATGGACACATGCTGAGAGCATGCTTGGGATGCTCAAACTGTGCATGGAGCTACAGTATCACCGTCTCAGTCGATGTCGAAGCTGTTTTCACGAAAGGAGCGCGCCGCCAATGCTGACTATGATGACGACCGAAGAAAAGACAAGAAGCGGCGTTCCAGGAGCTCGAGTCATTGTCTTGTTCTGCACTCGTAAGGACAAGTCTGTCCAGTACCATTCAACACCTTTGACATACAAGGCATGCTGCAACTTAAAATGTGGATTATGGAGTCCAGATATAGAACAACGAAATTTGCAAAGTTTTTAAGTTCAAACAGGTGGACTATGAAGTATATTTAAGTTCATCTTCTTCGCTTCGGTTGGAAGGACGCGATCGCGCTCCGCACGCCGCGGCCGCTCACGGAGCCGCAGCCGCGAGGCGCGGCGCCTGGAGAAGGAGCGCGAGATGGAGGACCGAAGAGCAAAACAGGGGCAGCGCAGTCGGGTCGAAAAAGAAGCCGCCGGAGGCGGTTTGCATGTCTTTGTTGTTTGGTGCCTGCAGGAAAAGCGTCGGCAGGAGGAAGAGGAGGCAGTCGAGAGCTTGCCGTGCAGGTGAGCGTCCCGCGTAGCATAACTCCGACTTTTCACAGGAGCGAAGACGCCAGATCGAGGACGCGACGCGGGGCGATCGCACCGCATCCCAACTGCAAGACGTCAGGGTCGACCGAGAGTGTTTGCGCGTCGTCATTGCAGAACAGTGCAGCCATGCTTCCCGCTGTGGCTGAGGTCATGATTGTATGCTTACATCACAAGGCCATGCCTGCCGTAATTTGGGTGCTTTGCATGCACAGCTGGCAAGTCGTGAACACTCGAGGCTGACGAGCGTGATGTCTATGAGTTCTTCTCGAAGAATGCTGGCAAGGTGCAATCAGATGACGACTGCAGAGTGACCATTGGATGTATCGCTTTACTTGGCATGTCTGCTTGATTTGTTGCTGAAAGGTGCGAGATGTGCAGATCATCCGTGATGCACGTACAGGCAGGGAAGTGGTATTCGATGTGTTCCGATATGTTCCGATTCTGGTGCCAGTGCTTGAGTTTTCATCACGACCGGCGGGCCTCGGGCCTTTAATCGCTCCAGTCTGCGCCTTGCATTTCTGACCCTCGAGTCTTGCCTCGGGGGGCCACAGTTGCAGCATGTTGCAGCTGCTTCAGCAGTCCAGTCTTGTTGCAAGCTGCGGTAAAAAGGTGTTGGGTTGGACCACTGAACAGACTTATTCTCCCGACATACCAGTACAGACTCCAGCTTGTGCAAGATGTTGGAGTCGGGGAAGGGGGTGCAAGCGAATCTGCACCAGGCCCTCCGGAGCTAGTCCCCAGCTGCACGATATCTCGTCTTCTTGCGAGAAGACGAGTTGGCGAAGCGAAAGAAAAAACACTGCTTTGGTCCACAACGAGCTAGCCAAGACAAGCAACGATGAAACAGCGAGACAGCTTCGTTGCGGCCATTACAGATATCTTGACGATACACCCGGAACCTACACGGGACACTAGATTCACTACGTAGATCCTCTATCTGTCAGCAAGCAATACCCACTGATGTACCACGGGCAGTAGAATTAGACAGAATCAGCAAATGATAACGCACAACATCATGTCATCGATCCAAATCCCGCTAGACGCGACCCACTAGAAGCAATAGTGCGATTGCAACAGAAGCAGAGTCAATCTGAGTCGTGTCGGTACAACAGACGGTAAGGGAAGACCATCAGTAGCAGTAATCAAAAGTAGCATTGATATGGATAACCGTAGCTTTAACGGTAACAGTAACGGCATTAGCAGCAATGATGCTAAACCAACAGCAGCAAAGCCGTTAAAACCGCTAGCGAATCAGACTCCGTTAGGATACAATCGCAGGCCGATCCAAGGGCCTCGCTTACGTGGAGTTCTACCTGCAGGCAGCCCCCGACCGTTTTCTTGGGCTCTTCGAGGTTCAGGGGACGTCAGGGTCTTGGTGAGGCGGTTCTCAGGATTCAATGGGCCATCGGGGTCAAGCCTTGATAGACTCGAGTGACGTCAGGTCAGGTCCCGACCTTGAAGCTGGATGCAGGCAGTTGACATGTGATGGCCAGGAAGCCACGCTGAAAGCCCTGGCGCTCAGCGGGCAGCCGATCAAGGGTCAGGCGCTCCCTCGCGTTTCGCAACATGTCTTTTTGTGCGGGAAGACCTGTCACGCCAGGCAGTTCGTGTGCAGCCATCCCAGGCAGGCTTCTCGCGGTGTGACGTGCACCTCGTCGAGGGGTCTTGCGGGCGAAGGGACTCGTTCTGAGGGGAATACCAGTTTTCACTTAGTTGGTAGCAAGGCAGCAAGGCCTACCATTGTGACAAAGCAAAACTACGAGCCTTGTTTTCATCTTCCGTGCTTCTTTAGGTTTGCCATGGTTTGCCTGTTTGTCACTCCTTTCGACAGCTTCTAAACCCAAAAGCATAGAACGTCTCTAGACCCCTGAACCCCGAGAGGCCCTCCACTACAGACCCTGCATATGAGCTTTCGATTTGCTGTGCGCAGGCGGAGAAGAACCGAGCGGCCCAGGCTGCCAAGGCCTCGATTCACTACACGGCGCCGCGCGAGACCCCGCTCCGCTGCTCGGCGCAGAGCCATGGGGTCCCACGAGTGTGCGATCAATACCTTTGATTTACCGTACATGCATATTATACATATGAATATGAATATGTATATGTATATATGTATATGTATATATGTATATGTATATATGTATATGTATATATGTATGTGTACATGTACATGTATATATATATATATATGTATGTATGTATGTCTGTATATATGTACGTATGCATGTATGCATGTATGGTCCCGTGTCGCCGCGTCAGTGGCC